ATCAAGCACGCTACAAGCTCTTTTTGGCAAGTAGGTTGCGCCCTCTAAGAGGTTCATGGTAGCGTTGTCCTGGCTCAAGCAGGGAGCTTTTGTGTAAGCCCGAGCCAATGGCGACTCCGAGTGCCTCCAGCCTCAACTCGTCTAGGGAGAGCGAGCCAGTGTTGGAGTGTCGCTTGGCGCTCTCCACCCTATCGGGCACAGTGGTGGAAATGACCACGAGCGTGGCCAAATATGATAGACTGGAGGACCTAGAAGACCATGTTGTTGACTACCTAGCCTCAGTGACTGAACCTTAAGCTCTTTGAATGCGCAGTGGATTTCTTGTACCCCAACATGCACACCTACCTCGACGACCCAATATGGGAGGGATTACAAAAGAACACAGAATTTACCATAGTGTTCCGTGACTGCAGTGAAGTCCTCCACTCGAAGGAGATTTTTGAAGGATGTCCATATCGTGATATCCCACAAGCAGTCCAAGTCCCCATGAACCCGGCCGGAATCGTTCCTGCGGTTGCTTTCACGGCAGTGCCGCGCTTGCGTCACGTCAATGTAGAAGCAGACATCAGGGCAATTGGAGCGGAGGCATGGCAATGTTGCCGACATCTTCGGGTGGTCAGGATGCCCAGTTCGGTGGTGCGAATTGCGGACAATACCTTCCGAGGGTGCCAACTGCTTAACTGCGTTAGAGGAGTCGGAACTCAGCCAATCTTGTACAAAGATGGCATAAGTACCATGCTAGGATAGGTCGCAGTTTCACCAGTTTCACCCGGGCCTTGCGCGTCGGAGGATAGGGATTTCAGAATCGAGCTATCCGCCTCATTGGAAGAGTGAACGCCCCCCCAGGCTCCCCTTGACCATTCCCGGGAGCCAATTGGGAGGTGTGTTGTGCCTCCCCCTGAGGCTGGGAGGCTGCCAAGCTGTTTGCAGCCGCGCTTATTGTTGCAATGTCGCTCACCGCCGCATTCAAGACGGGCCACTGCCTCTTCGTTCGCGCAGTCTTTTATAGGGGTTGTGCCTCTGAGAGGTTGTTTTCCAAGGCCAGCAAAGCATTGCAACTGATGACCTTTGGCAATCGTCATCTTTTGTGCTGCAACTTTCGCACCAGCTTAAGTGCCTGTGACCGAGGCTGGCAAGGAAGACGTTTACCTTGCCTGTACACGAAGGCCACCTTTGATTGGCCTGCGTGGACAACCGCCTACGTCCAGATTTGGTAATGCTTTCGTCAAGAATTCAGGCCCTTAGGTAGTTTGAGTCTCTCATTCTTAACATGTTTCACCTTAGTACAGAAGAAACTCTGCCCACATTGGTCGTTGGGGTCTTTGGTCCTTGTGCTTTTGGGGTGGTTTTGTTTGTTTGGTTGTTTTGTGTCGGTTTTTGTTTTTGGGTTGCCTCCCCCACCAATATGCAGAGTTTCCAATCCTTCTACGATGACCTGGGCGCACCGCCCACGTGGCGTCCGCACTCGTTGAAAGAAAAGCAGCCTCATACATCCCTAGCTGCCGGGTCGTCATTGCCACCACAGGCCTGTATGGGAACAGAAAGGGCAAAGCCATTCCACGCTTAACACGCACATGGAGAACATTGATATCCTCAGTAACGAAGAAACCCAACAGGATATCAAGTCTGCGTTTGCACCGGCAGTGCCAAGGCAGCCCTTCTTCCGAGCCATGTTAGGCGACCTCAAGCAGAGAACTGGAGGGGTGGCAGATGACCAGAAAGCCCACAGAACGCCACTGCTCAAGGCGCCAATAGGTTTGAGAGCAGCTCATCGTTGGTACATGCCGCATGAGGTCTCTGGGAGCTTTAGCAAGCTGCTCCAGCAGTGTCAAGGAGTTGGTCAAGAGGACATGGAACAGGCAACAGAGGCTGTGCAGCCGAATGCCACTGGGGCGCACCTGGTTTCGACAGAAGGAGTCGCTGCCATATCCCTTCGGAAATGGATTGCAGAAGACCTATAGCAGCCTCTCGCGGGCAGACTTGTCCTTGCCTGAGGGACTGTTGATGGGTCTTGGCCATGCAGCCACAAATGCACTGGCTCCAGGGGCGCAAATTGCGCCTCTCGCCTCGAAAGTTGCCTGGCGCTCACGTCAGTTGATTTCGCAATGGCCAACAACAATGAGTCACGGGCCCTCCCAGATGGCAGTTTCTGTGGAGCTGGCATCGAAAGCCTCCGCCTCCCTCCTGACTTTCATTTCATCGGACCAAAAGCGTGTGAGAACTGCAAGCGGCTAATTGAGGTTGACCTTATGTGCACGGACATCACTGCCATCTGGGGCTCCACCTTTTCGTACTGTGTAGCCCTGGTCGATATCTGGCTCCCGCTGCTGCACATCACTTCGAGAAGTCGTCGTCCCACCGATGCCTTGGTGTTAGAGCATTCTGCGGCTGTGAGCAGCTCACACTCTTCACTAAACTAGATGACGCGGACACAGGGAGGGGAACACAAGCGGAAGACAATGCCTTTTTGATGTGTGATAACTTCGAGCGTGAGTCTTGGATAGAATTGCTCCCATCGAGAGAATGGACGACGCCTTTGACTAAGAGCTCCAACGGGCTGGTAAACAGGGCACCCTCACACACTTGTGGGGCCTACCCTGGTGGGCAAGTGCCTTAGCACTCGTCTTGGGCAAGGAGCTCCAACCCACAAGATTTCATACTTTCAAGAACGCACAAACCAAAGCCAACACCTGCAAGGCGCCAATCGGCGCTCAACATCCGCCATTGAGCCAGTCGGCAGCTCAATGTGGCTCCCTGTGAGGCAGTTGAGCCCTCCTGAAGCAACACAAGTGTCAGGTAGGTTGACTTCTCTTGCACGCTCGCATGGTGAACACAAGGAGTTCCTAGCGGCAGTACTGTCCTGGCTCAAGCAGGTCTGCGAACCGAGTACCCTCATCCAGGCCAGCGACCCAATCGTGACCCTAAGTGTCTCCAGTCTCAACACATCAAGGGAGAGTGAACAGGCCATGGAGTGCCGATTAGACCTCACAACTCTATCTGGCACAGTCGTGGAAATGTCCACTGGCGTTGCGCAATATGACAGGCTTGAGGACTTTGAAGACCACGTTTGACCTTCGATGGCTGTCCACATCGAGACATCCCGCAAGCGGTCAAAGTGCCAATGAACCAGGCAGGGATCATCCCCTCCAGTGCCTTTCTAGCTGTTCCGCGCATGCGCCATGTGAGCATCGAGGCAGGCATCCTGCAGTTGGAGCCCAAGCTTGGCAATGCTGTCGCCATCTCCGGGTGGTCAAAATGCCCAGTACTGTTGTGCGTATTGAAGAGAACGCCTTTCGAGGGTGCCACTTGCTCAATAGCATCACAGTACCAGGCTGCATGGAGTTTGGCTACAAAGCGTTTCTTTGCAGTGGATCCACGCCAATGGAGGAGGGGCCAACCACTTTGGAAGTGCAACCAAATTTGGACACTGTGCCTTTTTGTAGACTGCATCAATTTGGCTACCTTCGTCCTCCAAGAGGACGGCCGCAACCCAGAACTGCGTAATCAGGAGGAGACTATAGGGAACTGCCGACAGGATGTTTGTGCTCCACCGGGAAGGCGCTAGAATTGACTGTGGATTTCCAATTGCTAGGAGCCCATGCCGGACCAGGGCTATGTGTCAGGCCTGGCCTAGGCTCATCCACTCCCGCTCGAATAGATTGTCGAATACACTATAACATGGCTATGCAAGTGCGCACCTCAAACTCCATAGACCAAAGGAAATCGGCCGAAAAGAGGACCCACATTCAACGTGTACCTGCTTACTCTCAAATACGCCCACCTTCATGCCACAGGGCATGCTAGGAGATATTTTTGTTTCACCATGTTTCACCAGGGCCATGCATGTCTGTGGATAGTGACCCATGATGACTGCTCTATCCATCCGACTTTGCGTACTTGCACACCCCCCAAGCTCCCGCTGCTGCCTGCCATGGAGCCTAATGGGTGGGTGGGTGGCCTCCCCCGGATGAGGGAGGTTTGTAGGTTGCCTGCAGCCACGCTTGCTTTGCAATGTCCATCGCCCTATTGCCCGCGACCGGCCACAGTCGCCTCTGCTTGTGCAGCCGTGTGTAATAGCTGTGCCCTTAGGCAGGCTGTTTTCCAAGGCCAGAATAGCATTGCAACCACAGATGACCGTAAAAGATCATAACAGATTTGAATTGCTGCAAACAGTCCGCTGAAACGGTCGTGCGTTCGAATATTGCTGAAGTGCTTGCAACCTAACCTGGCAAGGGCTGACCTGTCCCTTGTCCGCTCCTGAAGGCCACTGGTGAATGTCCCATTACATCGTATGGCAAATTTCGTGAATTCAGGCCCGACTAGTTAGTTAAACGATCTTTCATGTCTCACCAGTCTCACCTTAGTACAGTTGGAAACTCTGCTCACATTGGTTCAAGGGGTCTTTTGGGGCTTGTTTTGGGGGTGTTTTTTGTGTGGTTTTTGTTGTTGTGCTGGTTCTCTTGTGGTTTTGCTCCCCTTACCAATATGCAGAGTCTCCATCCTTCACATGATGACCTGTGCACACCGCACACATGGCGTCCGTACTTGGGTGTTGGAAGGCTCAAACACATTGATACCAGGTATCTATGGATGCAATTGGAGATCAAGAAGGAGACCCTGGTTATGGATGGCATCCCAACCTTGTGGAACGTTGCTGATCTGGGAACCAAACGGCTCAGCAAGGTGCGAAGAGAGTTCCCGATGTTTCTCATTGGGATTGTGGAGTTCCACGCAGAGGACGGTGACGCGGTCTTTTCCAAGGTTGGGGAAGAAACCTTCAACCAGGAGGTTGCCAAGAAAGTCGTGGCCAAACAGATGAAGCGGGTGAAGAGAGAGATGGTGAATGCTGTGATTGAAGGGACGTCCAACCTGTCCTCAAAGATGCCTGCGAGTGTGGTGAAAATGGTGACGTTGCTTCTTCTCCAACCTGTTGCTTTCGGAGGTGAAGGCAATGGTGGCTATGAGGAGAAGAATGAGCAGTTCACGAAGGTTGGTGGTTGGGAGAACTGCTTGATGATGATTGTCTGCAGCCTCATCGTGTTTGCCTTGGCATTTGCTGTGGCTGTGCTTATCGATTGCGAGTGGGCATATTCCTAAGAACTTTGGCCCGCTTTGTGCGACAAGAAAAGGATCATGGAGCTACAGCGTGAACAAGATCACCAAAAAGCCCTGAGGAACTTTTGAGAGTACGGACTGGTCATGAGGACGATGGGTGATGGAGTTCGAGGTGGAGAATGGCAACAAGCACCCAGACCTCCATGGCCTGAACCTTTGAGGAGGCTGATCCTGACCGGATTTTGAATGTCCAGATGAGAGAAGAAGGACCAGTTGCAGCTGATGGACAAACAGGTGCGAATTCCCAGCTAGTCGAACCAGAGCCCGAGGAACAAGAGTTTGAACCTGGAGAGGACGATTTGTCTTCAAAGGAGCCGGAAGGAGCAGAGAACATGGTGATGGATTGGAACCCAGATGTAGGAAGGATGCAGAACTTTGGGCTGCTGGAGGATTCAGATGATGCCTACAGCAGCGAGGAGTACTTCCTGGTGACACCTGGGGGCAGCTACAGGAGAAGGTACCGGAGGACCAACTCTGAGCGAGAAGAAGATGAAGAAAATGAGGAAACTCAGATGGAAGTTGAGCGAGGAGGAGAAGAGCAGGCTCAAATGGAAGTGGATGAAGTTGGAGGACGAGATGCCTCAGCTGAGGTAGATCGAAGCCGCCCACCAAGAGACGCGGATTGGTGGGACCTTGAGACCCTACTGCGGTACCAGAAGGATTCCGCACAAGAACGGCGCGCTCGAAAGCTGAAGGATGCTGGAATCTTTCCCATCCAGTTGCTGAAAGAGTTTTCGCACACCCGCCTTGCAGCAGAGCACTCAGCCATGTTTCCACATATGGCATTTGACCATATCCTGAGTTGGAATCAGGAGGAGCGAACGGGATTTGCACAGTTCGCGGTGATTGTGATTAGCTCCCAATGGGAGGATGACTGGGAAGCCAGGCTGCAGAGGTTCTATGAGACTGGAGAAGTCTAGAGTGGTGAAGGATGCCACTCATTTCGTAGCAGCCTTCAGGTGGAGTGTCAAAGACTTCACCTTTTGTTCACCCCGGCCAACGAAGTGGCCCAAGTTCCCTTGGAGGAAAAAGGGTTCCGCGCGTTTGCCATCTAAGTCCCCATGTCCAGAGCCAGTGGCCTGTTCTGGCAGAGATCCAACCAACTGAGTCTTCGAAAAGGAGCGGAAACTCCACAGACGAATTTGAGGAACTTAGCCAAGTTGTCTCCACTTGTGTTCGATAGCCCTTCTTGCTCCCCTTGTGTGCCATGGTTCTGGTGGATGCTGGCCTGAGATGAGTCTTGTCTCCCATTGTTTCTCATCACTTTTCTGCATGGTGGACTAAAACAATTTTGTTTTGTTTGCGTTTGTCTTCCATTTTCTGGAGGCTAGGCTGAGGTGATCCTGATTTGTCTCTCCTTGTTGTTCCACTCTGTTTTTCATGGCCGACCTGGCTGAAATAGTTCTCTTGCGTATCCCTCCGTCGCTCATAGCTCTTCTTGGGTGATGAAGTTGGAACATTTTGCCGTGTCTCCCTCTGTTTTTTCATCTCAAAAGGGCTGTGAGCGGGTTACGAAGGGCTCTTCTCCTGTGGCTCCTGGACCTCCAGCGTCGGGTTTGGGCTGATTCTTTTTTGTGTTTCTTTGTCGTGTTCGTTTCCGAAGGCTTGAAACTGGGGACACAAACTTTCATGGTTCGCTAACAACAGAAAAATCAGATTGCCGTTGTTGCTTGGGGTCGATGCTGGAAGCTACCATGAAATGACATTGTTAGTCTTTTGTCCCACATGTTTTACTTGTTGAGGTTCTTAGCTGTTCATTGGCACATTGGTTTGATTGTGTATTGAAATGTGTATTTGCTGGTCGATGTGGTGTGAAGTGGATGTGGTGTGCCCGTCGCTGATGCGTGTTTTTTGTCGCATCATTTCGGCAGTTCCCCCCGTATGTTGCACTTGTAGCATCATTTTGATTCACTGTTGCTTTGGACAATTTCAATGCAACAACTACATAAGTTGCGTTTTGTGGGCCAATGTCGGCATGTGGATTCAAACACGTTTGCTTTTCGGAACCAGTTTTTGAAGTGTAACTGGCTTGGCATTTGTTCAATACATTGTCGTTTTGATTGTGTTAACTGTATTTTTTGTTCAGCTTGACAATGCCAAAGTCAAGACCATGCTTGCAATCCCGACGCGTGGACAGTGGCTCCTACTCAAGAATTTATCGCATATTTTGGACCGAAGGAAGCGCGCGAAGTGCAGCTTCTTCGATGGGGCTTTATCGAAAAACACAGATCACATTTCGTTTCAGGTCCACCCTCAAATTTTGTGTTGAACCAAACTTTAAGTCCATAAATTTATGAACTATTGGACAATTCCAGCTTTGTGCATGATTGTTGCAAATCCGTGCACTCCTATGTTGTGGTGATTTTTGCGCAATGAGCTCGAAACGCTCCAAGAGGAGGAAAGAAGTCAAACACAAGGAGGCTGATTTTTGATGTCAACAAAAAATTGCTGGCAGCACAAAGGTTTTTCTGCAGCACAAAAGGGACAAACAGCTTTCATTGTGCGTACAATGTACATTGCGAAGGTCAAGAAGGACTTGACGCCACAGTTTGTCAACTGCGACCTGGCAGACAACAAGTACTCTGGGATAATCCGCGAGGAGCTTCGTTTTTGCAATGTGAGAACATTGATGTTTGATGTCAGATGTGATTTGTAACATTTTTTAGAACCAGAAAACATACAGCTACATTCGAGCAGAAAGTGGGTTGAAGTTAAGGGCCTGGACATATCATTGCCAGAATCTTTTGGACAGTTTCACTTGTGTCATTCATTGCTGTTGATGCTAGGACCTGCTGGGGTCACAGTTTCTTGAGGGAACCACCTCCACATACATTTGGCGTGGTTCTTACGTAGATTTGATCTGTGATTCCAAGAGTGCATCATGAAAGGCAGGTTATGATAAGGTTCGGGTTGAATAAGGTCCACAGGAACAAAGTATGAAGGGCCGGATGCCCCAGGCACAACTAACTAACAGGCGGAATTCAGATGTCCCTGGACTGAGGCCGTTTGTCGCAAGTCAGATTGAAGGTCGTGGTACGTGGGCTTGGCAACGATTAATGATTATAGCTTGAGGTACAATCAAATCTGGAGGATTCAAGTGTTCTTTTGATGCCGGGCTCTTTTTTTTTTTTTCGGCGCTTTCCGCGATGCTTTTCAGAATTGACATCAACTAAGTTGTTGTTCTTTGTTTTTTTCCCACTGTATCATTTGCTCGCCACCGGACCACGGAACGTTGAAGAGGATGAAGCAAAGAGTTCCAACCTTTCCCTTTCCTTTCCGCTGGCAGATTGCTTTCAGGGAAGGAGAAACAAGTGAAGCTCTAGTTTAGCTTTCATGGGTGCGGATTCTAAAATACGATATTCAATTGCACAATTGCACAAGGCCTGAATACGAATAGCATTCCAACAATCACCAAGTGGTTTGCTTTTGCGCATTTTATTCAAGAACTCCTTGTGTGTTCATCTGACAATGATAAGATATGCCAGGTTTGTCTGGCCAGATGGCTCTAAATACGAGGCCCTTGGAGAGTGTGTTTAGACAAAGTGCACAAAATGTCTCGACATTTGGTCAGGGCGAGCTGCTGGGTGGAAGACGAAATGGTGAAGGATGCTACCAATCCCATGACAGCTGCCTCCTTGGTTTTCTTCCTTTCCTTTTGCAACTAGAAAAGATCCACCCCAGGCAAGACACGCTATGAGGGCCAGTGGCTTGATGGCAAGCGCCATGGGCCGACCACCAAGACCTAAATCATGGCATTGCATTTGGTCGCAGTTTGGGCAGACTTTAGATTTTAGATGGTACTCTTTCTCGAGGCAAGGAAAACTTACGTACAGCTCCGATGGTCCTTCCTTCTACGATGGTGGTTGGCAGGCGAGAGAGAGAGAGAGAGAGAGATAGAGCACCTTCAGCGAGCAGTTGATAGGCTGGTCAGAAGCATGGCTATGGCAAGCAGCCGCATATCTGAGAACCTGGAAAGTCGTATTAATATTTGTTGACCATCATAGACTGTCATAGACGTTTGTCATTCATAGATTGAAATGTTCTACCGCAGTGTTGCCGGCAGATTGTTGGTTTTTCCTAGGTTGTGGCCAAGTGGAAACTGCTATGAGGGTGAGTGGAAGCAGTCCCCTTGGATGAAGCCATTGGACCACAGACAGAAAGTCGGGAAATCTGCTGAGGCTTGGAAAAATGCATGGCTATGGCACCATGATTTGGAAGAACGGCAGCAGCAACTTGGCTGAAGCAAAGGGTGTGAGAGCAAAACAAGCTCGAGTTGTGAAAGCTTGCCAAGATGCCGAAATCTACACGGGCGAGTGGGTGGTTCCAAGCTCAGCTTCATCTCAGAGCGAATCCTGCACAGAAAGAACCCTCACGAGCATTTTGTAAGGAAAACTGCCCGCATGGTCCCCTCCCCAGATCATATCAGTGCTAATGTTTGCACCACTTGTGTGCTGCTTTTCCTATTCGAGAGTTGATAAGGCCAAGGCACCCACACGTGGCTGACACTTGACCGTCCTGATTCAACTACTGACGCCTGGCAAAAAATAACAATGTTCCCCCACTCCCTTGTGCCAGTGATAAAATGTGTGACCAAGGAAAGCTGGCTCAATCAACCTTCACCACCACCCTCTGCTGGGCAGATTGGGCAGGCGGATTGTCACTGTCACAGAAGCTTTGCTCTCTTTCATCTGTGTGAGGGTGTGCATGGTGTACGTAGCATTGGGTTGGTGCCTCCACAGGAGCCCAGTTCCAAACAGCTGTGCTTGCTTGTTCTCCTTGCCAGCAAAGAAGCAAATGAAGCAAAGCTGTAGATTCACGTGTAGCTGGAGGCCATCGCTATTAGGTTGGAGGCCATCGCTTTTAGGTTGGAGGCCGTTGCTATTAGGTTGGAGGCCATCGCTATTAGCGTGGAGGCCATCGCTATTAGGTTGGATGCCATCGCTATTAGGTTGGAGGCCATCGGTCTTAGGTTGGAGGCCATGGCTCTTAGGTTGTAGGCCATGGCTCTTAGGTTGTAGGCCGTCGCCATTAGGTTGGAGGCCATCGCTATTAGGTTGGCGGCCATCACTATTAGGTTGGAGGCCATCGCTCTTAGGTTGGAGGCCATCGCTCTTAGGTTGGAGGCCATCGCTATTAGGTTGGCGGCCATCACTGTTAGGTTGGAGGCTATCGCTCTTGCGTTGGAGGCCATCGCTGTTAGGTTGGAGGCCATCGCTATTAGGTTGGAGGCCATCGGTATTGCATATGCGCATTTTTGACGATTGAGGAGCTTCGGCGACATGAAGCGCAGATGCATGCTACACAACAGTTCCTCAGCAGGCAAAAAATGCTGTAGGCAACAGGGCCATGGAAGAGTACGACATTTTTGTAGCCTGTGAGGCTTAGGCTTAGCATATCTGACACTTACGTGATGTCGCTTGGGCTTTTACAAATTCAACAAAAGACCAATGGCGGGCTCAACAGGTGATGAGCATGCAAAGGTCACACAATGGGACACACTTTTTTCTGCAGCGGCAGCAGCAGCAGCAGGAGGAGCAGCAGGAGCAGCAGCAGCA